CTCCTCCTCCTCCTCCTCCTCCTCCTCCTCTTTTCCCCATAACAACAACAACAATCCTGAGAGGTGGGCTGGGCTAAGAAAAAATGACTGGCTCGAAGTCACCAAGCCGGCTTACTGTAGTCTTAATGTACACGCCTTCCCTAAAAATCAAAACATGGAAGTGTACACAAATGAACAATGAAAACAATGAAATGAAAGTTTGGGAAAAGTGGATTTATTGCAACAATGTAACCAAAAGATCCTTCACATCTCCCCATGACTCACTGCACCGACCCAAAGGGGATAACGTTACACAATTTGGGAAATCCTGAGTTAAGGTATCATAAAAACTACCATGTTTCACTATATATATATAAGGACATATATTATTATGGAATATTTCATATCCTTTCTCTAAAGAAAGCCCAAAGTATCCTTATTGGATTTAAACCTAAGCGCACATGGTGAACATGTTGAGATGGGCAGCTATGTAACAGAACAGAATATTGGAGTGGATTGGATTGAAATGAAATAGAATAGAATAGAATAGAATAGACTGCCTTGGGATTTTCTGGAGCCAAATTCTAACCAGGCTGCTTAGTTTTCTAGGTCAGCTAAGGTTGGTTAATATCATGAGTTCCTTACGTAGGAAGGATCTCATAGTCCTGGCAGAAACTATATCCAACAGGAAGATGCAATCTGGGTGAGATGTCCCAAGAGCATGGGCTGGTATAAACTATCTTCTCTCTCTCACTCACAGTTCGGAACTTCAAAACACTTGTATGGCTTAATGATCCCCCTTGGCACGTGGCCAAGTTGTGCAAGAGAAGCACTTAATGGGTCATCATAGGCACTGCAGGGCACAAGTGCTTCCTTCATCATTCTGCTTCATGTTGATCTGACAACTGATTGCTAAGTGTTCAATGTTGATTATGAAATATGAATCACCAACCAAAGCGAGGATAACAAGAAGTGAACATCTCATAGATTGAAAGAGATGGAAAACCATAAATTGCATTTCTTAGAATCAAAATTAGCTTTCAAAAGATGAGGGGAGACAATAGGAAGAGTTTAATATTATGTATTATATAATATTCAACATCTGCAAGTAATGCATTAAATGAATACAAAGAGCTTAGCCTGAAGAACAGTATTTTGTAAGAGAGCTGAAGGCAATTAAAGAGAACTTACTTTTTAGCATATTTAGATTAATGTATTTTCACCATCATCAAATTATGCATCCTTATGGCCAGATAGCCAGTATGGTTTAGGGGTTATAATTTTGAACTAGGACTGGGTTCAAGCACACACTCATCCATGAAAAGTGACCAATTGTTAGTTCAGTCCATCTTGTATATGTTGCATGAACGAACCCCCTCCACACAAACACAAACTATTTTGAATTCATTCCAGATGTAATACAGGTAGTCCTTAACTTACAACAGTTCGTTCAGTGACTGTTTGAAGTTACAACAGCACTGAAAAAAGTGACGCATGACTGTTTTTCATATTTATGATCACTGCTGCGTCCCCATGGTCATGTGATCAAAATTCAGATGCCTGGCAATTGACTCATATTTATAATTGTTGCAATTCCCAGAGCCATGTGATCACCTTTTTGTGACATTCTGACAAGCAAAGTCAATGGGGAAGCCAGATTTCCTTACTAACTCAACAGTGATTTACTTAACAACTATGGTAAGAAAGGTCATAAAATAGTGTAAAATTCACTTAACAAATGTCTCACTTAGCAAAGGAAAATTGGGGGTCAATTGTGGTTGTAAGTCAAGGACTACCTATATGTTGCTCTTCAAAATGAATCCTGTTCTGAAGATAGAATTCCCTTGATAGCAGGAAAATTCTCTCCTTTTTCACAAACACGTTATGCCAAATATAATTCCATGCCATCAACTGCCTTATTCGAGATAATAATTTTGACATTTATAACTGGTTGTCCTGGAGAAAATAATATGGTTTCTAGAACAAGTGAGGACTTGCATGAAGGTAGGCTGTGGGATTGCAAGTAACATTATTTAAATCTTCCTTGCCTTCTTTATGAAATTACAGGTAACAACAAATCCAGAGGCAGAGCCCAAGGTAAGAGAATTCTCATTACAAATAATAAATAATATTATATATTAAAGTATTATATTATCTATAATATTATTGAAAATAACACAATGCCCACCATGGTCTGGCCCAAGAGATTGTATAAAGAATAAGAAAATAAAACAGACTTATTTGTCAACAAATTTGAAGATATTTGTGTAAATGTAGTTTTCTTTGTCTGCTGTGAAGCTCATGGGTGATTTCTTGAATTCGGGTAAAAATAGTGGTAGGTGAGAACAAACACCACAGTGAAGAGTGAATCATTAGTCTGTCATTTCTGTACTATAATGAAAAAATGTGCTTTTGTGGTGAAATAGTCTCACTGTTTGAGAGTCTGAAAGGTCTCTCATGTGCATTTGTGTGTGTGTATCCTTCTATGGATTAAATTCTTTGAAATCCTTGGGCAGAGAAAGGAATAGCGCCATAATGTTTAGGAACTTTGATCCCATATACATTGGAAGCCATGGATTGGTATGATCTGTAGGTGCAAAACATATGGGAGTAAATAAACACCAAACAGAAGTCTCATTATAACAGAAGACAAATGTGTAACAGCCACAAAAATGAATATTTAAAATGAATTAAACCTTCTGCTTTAGAAGAAATATTTTAAAAAATCAGTTGAGTACTATTATTTTAATTAAAACATCCAGGAAAAAAATATTTATTAAGATCTAAGATTTGTAAGATCTGGATGTTATATTGAAAAAAAAATGGATCTGGGTACAGATTGATTAATTTGTGTCAGAAGCATCATAATTAAAATAAGGCATACTATACAAAATAAAATATAAAATATAAAATACAAGATTTTATAAAATATGTGCAAGTTAAACAAATCTGACTCAGAAATGAGCAGCATTAATTGCATTCTGTCCCATTGCCATGAGGTCCTCAAGCGTACACTGATAATATTTTTGAAATATTTGAAGGGTCACCATGCAGACAAGGGAGATGTATCTTCTGTTCAGGGGTGGGTTTCTCACCCCGTTCCAACTGGTTCGGTTGGAACGGGGCCGGCGGCGTCCTC